CCACGCGGCTTTGACAGAGTGGAGACTCCCGCAGCCCTGAGAGGGAGAACTACGAGGCCTGGACAGAGCGGGTACCCCCACAGCTTTAGAAGGGGAACCACCACCTGGTTTTAGCAGAGATCCCGGCGACTCAGCCGAGGGTGCCAGGAACCCAGGGAGGTCTCCCAGTCGAGATGGAGGACTAACTAAGAACCAGAGGACTGTTTGAGCCATGGACTTCGTTTTCCTTTCCTGAGATACGGTACTCTGTACTGGGCAAAAGGGGAAGGAAGGAAGGACTGTGTGTGTTTGTGGGTGTTTTGGGGGACTTTAGGATTTTTGATAAAGACATTAGGTCATTACTTGAAGTTTGTATAGCATTAAATAAACATTTCCTTTCCTTTTCACGAATCTCTGGCATTGAGAGATGTCTTTCCTAGGGCGGCGGACAAAACGGACCCGGGGCCTTCTTTCAATAATAGTATATTGTCTCAGGCCCCCCTTGTTGTGTTCTGTAACAATAAGCCTTATTTTAATAGAAGTTTTCCCATAAAATAGTTAACATAAAAGTACTAGTCTAACCACAATGACAAAACTGGTTAAGAAAGTGAAAGAAAACAAAGTGAACATGAATGAAAAAAACCTTTTAAAAAATTGGCCAGCCAAGTCGAACAACACATTTTTTTAAATATAATTTATCGGGATCAAGTAGTTTCTCTAAGAATTTATGTTATTTAAAAATCAGAATAAAAAATCAAAAGTACATGAATATAAAATTCTCCACCCAAATGGGCTAGAGAAGAAAAATCATGATCTCAACAGATGCAAGAAATTTTTAATAAAGTTTAAGATGAAAATGTTATGAAAACTTCTTTTGCTTAATAAAACCTTCAACAAACATTATATTTAAAACTTTAGATGCATCTCTTTGAGGTCTGGAACAACGCCTCACCACTACCACTGAGTGTGGTGCTAGAAATGCTCGCTGACGCATGAAGACAGTGAGCATCACCAACACCAACACCACCACCAACAAAAGGTTCAAGCTAGACTTGCCTCTTTCATTGTCAAAAAATGTAATTGTGGTAAGATACACATAATATAAAATTAATCATCTTAATGCATTTTAAATATAGTTCAGTAGTGTTAAGTACATTCATATTGTTGTGCCGCCAATCTCCAAAATTCTTTCTTGTCTCGTAAAACTAAAACTGTACACCTATGAAACACCTTCCCATTCCCCTGTCCCCAGACCCCAGCAACCACCATTCTACTGTCTCCATGATTCTGACACTCTGGGAACCATATTCATGTGAGTGAAATCATACAGTGTTTGTCTTTTTTTGACTGACTTATTTCACGTAGCATAATGTTCTCAAGGTTCATCCACGTTGGAGCATGTGATGGAATTTCCTCCCTTTTTAAGGCTTAATAATATTCCATTCTATGTATAGATCACATTTGTTGATTCATTTATCTGTTGATGGACATTTGGGTGTTTTTATGTTTATCTATTGTAAGTGATGCTGCTATGAACATGGACTTACAAATACCTCTTCCAGACCCTGCTTTCAATTTTGGGAAATATATATCCAGAAGTGGTATTATTGGATCATATGGTAGTTCTATTTTCAATTTTCTTAGGTACCACCATACTGTTTTCCATAGTAGGCACACCACTTTTCATTGCCTCCAACAGTGCACAAGGGTTCCAATTATCCACATCTTTGTCAACATTTGTTGTTGTTTTTTTTTTTTGTACTGGCGATCTTGATGGGTATGAGTTGGTATCTCCTTGTGGTTTTGGTTTGCATTTCCCTAATAATTAGTAATGTGGAGCATCTTTTTTTTTTTTAAGATTTTATTTATTTATTTATTTTTAGAGAGAGGTGAAAGAAACATCAACTTGTGGTTGCCTCTTGTGCGGCCCCTACTGGGGACCTGGCCTGCAATGCAGGCATGTACCCTAGACCAGGAATTGAACCAGTGATCCTTTAGTTCACAGGCTGGTGCTCAACCTACTGAGCCATACCAGCCAGGACTGGAGCATCTTTTTACGTGTTTGTTGGCCACCTCTATGTCTTCTTTAGAGAAATTTCTATTCAAGTCCTTGGCCTATTTTAAACATTGAACTGTTTGGTTTTTGTTGTTAAGTTGTAGGAGTTCTTTATATATTCTGGATAGTAACCCCTTGTCAGATGTATGATCTGCACACATTTTCTCCCATTTCATAGGCTTCCTTTTGCCCTGTTGTGTCCTTTGAAGTCTGACCTGTCTCTATGCAGTCTTTGTCCTCTACCCGTGAAGCCCATCCCTCACTTGCGTTGGTGGTGGTCACGAGGGTGGTGGTGCCCCAGGGTGAGTGCAGTAGTGGCACCTGGTGGCACTTCTCTCCCAGGTTGTCCTTACTTAGATTTCTTTGGTTTCAATGAGATAAAGATTCCTGGGCAACAATGAACAAAGCAGAGTTATTTAAAAAATATTTTGTTTTCTAAATGCTTCTTTAGTCCCTACCCAAGACAATGCTAAATGAAATATAGATATTACCCACACCACCTCTGACCCTCTATGGAAGGCAAGATTTCTTCAAATGTTCAAACCTCCCGAGTTAGTTTTTGTCATTGCTGAGTTGGTTTGGCTCACTGGACCCAGGGACAGATGCAGTCAGGTGTGTTTGCTGCCCACAGTGGGTCTCAGAGGCAAGGCGGGCAGCTGTTGTGAAGGGAATTCAGATCCTTCTCACAACTTTCCTTGAGAAAGGGGGCCCTGGCAGCATTCATTGCCAGCTTGCTGACCTCATTCAGGGCAGGTTCAGTGGCTTCCTTACCTAATCTACCCACTGTGGGCAAGTTTCTCACTATTCTCCAACAGGAACCTAGAAAGCCAGTCGGCACAGCCTCCACGCAACAGCACGGGTTAGACTCTTTCCAGAAGTACAGTCTCTTTTCTGGGAAAAGGACACACAGATTTTGATGTAACTTGCCAAGAAAAGTTGAAGGACTGTTTGTCGATGCCATCTGCTTCCCGAGAAAAGGAAGACACTGTGATGTGGTGATATGAGAGGGTGTCAGGATTTTCTTGAAGGTCCCGTGACAAACCCTCTCATCTTTTTCCATCGGTAATGGGGCCCAGTGAATGCCTGGTCTCTGCAGGCACCCAGACATTAATCAGTGAGACTGGCATAGTCCGTGTTGGGAGGGGATGGGGTCCGAGGAGCAGGAGGTGAAGATCTGTGAAACTGATGTGGTTATTGTGGCTCTGACGCCGTGTGGCCCTTCAGTTCTAGGGAACTCCAGTGCAACATGCAGTCATTTCTCCTGCTTCTTTTGTGCTTGAACCAACTCCTACCCACACTGACCAAGACAAAGGCAGCATTAGGGTAGCCTGTCTCCCCAGGGAGAGATGCCTGGGACTGTGCGGGGCTGGTGCAGTTGCTGGCACCTATGTGTTTTACTGGCCAAGTCTAGTGCAGACCCTGCAGCTCTCCCTTTACCTAGGCCCCTGTCCTGGGCACACCTCCTGCCTCTCACACGAAGCCAGCTCAGCAACTGGCACCCGATCCTTGTTTTTTTTCTGCCATTCCAGGCTCTGAGAGCTAAAGGGTCTTCAAGTGGCCAGCCTCATCCTTAGACAGATCTTTGGAAAGGGCACCAGACCAGGTTTGGCCAAAGAAGCTGCTGGGGAGTTTTCCCAGTGTGTTTGGTGCCTCCTGGTGGACAGCATCCAAACTGCTGGTGGAACCCCTCCCTTCCTTCTTGTTTTGGCTTGCTCTCAGAAGCCCTCTTCAGCCCCATCCCATGGCCTTCCACTCCATGTGGAGGAAAAAAATGGCTTTTTAGGCTCTAAAGGTTACACTCATTCCCTGCAAAGGGCTGAGGGGATGCAGGAATCCAAGGCTGTGGCCTGCGATGGTTGATGTGAGCTAAGCTGTGTGGAAGGAGTGGAAGGTTGGGTGCCACTGGGAATGAGTTCCCCACACAGAAGGTATCTGCCCAGACCACCCCCTTCCACCACAGACCCCACGCTGGAGCCCCTGCCCATAGGCTTGTAGTTTCAGTCCCCACAGACTGACCCCTGGTTCATCCCACCGCCCCCTGGGCCCTGCTTTGAGGGTGGGCAGGGCTAGGGACTCTCTCCCTAGAGACAACTGAGGCTTGGAGCTCGATGTGGCCACGCTACACACCAGACCAAGGGCTTAGCGCCAGGTTTGGGGAAGGACATGAACAGTCACTCAATCCCCTGTCATCCTTGGGGTTCCAGGATGTGGTGCTATTTTGCCCAGTGTGGAGGGCCGAGGCCAAGAGAAAGCAGCAGCATTAGGGTAGCCTACCTCCTCCAGAAGAAACACCTGTGGTTGTGCAGAGACAGGAATCGTGTTCCTGCTGTTCAGTCGAGCAGCAGCAACTGGGAAGGTCACAGAGGCCAAGGGCCTTGCTTTTCAGACTTGGAAGCTGAGACCCTGTGGGGCAAGTGATTTGCTCCAGGGGTTGTATCTTAAACTTACTCTGTAGCAGAAGACACCTCACCAAGTCATGATCTTATCACAGATCATGGGCTCCCAGGATGGAAAAGCACTTCAGTTCAGTCCGACCTCATGTCTCCAAGCTAGTCCCCAACTAGGCTTGAAAAGAGAGTCAAGTTTCATAAAGGTGGCTGTGAAAAGCCTCTGGATATTGGGAATGCCTTCTGTTCTTCCTCACGTCATGAGCGTGACCAAACGGTGACAGCGATGGTAGGAAGGGAGCTAGCAGAATTAGGAGTAGTGTTTCTTGCTGTACTGTCTGGAACTTTTATGATTTTTGCACCGGTTGTCTGTCATTCTGAATTCTGCTATTTCTGCAGAATTTCTCCCTCATCATATGAACTGAAAATTGTAAAATCATCTATGACCCTTCTTCCTTAACTCTCCAACTCATTATCCAATCAAAAGCCAATGGCTGTATCATTGATCTACCTCTAAAGCTCCTTTGCATACCATATTAGTCTTTTTGGGCTGCCATAGCAAAACACTACAGGCTGGATGGTTTAAACGACAGACATTTATTTTCTCAGAGTTCTGGAGACTAGAAGTCCATAATCAAGGTGCTAACAAATTCAGTTTGTGGTGAGGTCTCTCTTCCTGGCTTATAGACATCTGCCTTCTCACTGGTCCTCACACGGCCTTTCTTCTGTGCACTGGAGGTTGGGAGCTGAGCGGGGAGAGAAAGAGAGACAGAGAGAGAATGAGCACTCTCTGGTGCTCCTCCTTTTATAAACACACTGATCTTAATGGATTAGGGCCCCACCCTTATGATCTCTTTTAACCCTGATTATCTCCTAAAGGCCCTACCAAATATTGGGGGTTAGGGCTTCAATGCCCAATGAATTTGGAGGGGACACAATTCAGTCCATAGCACATACATTATGTTGTCATTAGATCCTCACACGCTTTTGAGATACAGCCCCTTCCTGCCCAGACACTTGCCACAGTCTGTCCAAAGCCAACATTCCAGCCCCCAGGAACTCCCCTAATGCAGAGCCATTGTTCACAATGCAACTGGCAAGAGAGTCTAAAGCTGTCAGTGCCTCTCCGCTGGCTGGGAAAATCTTCACTTCCTGGCACCAGCATGATATCTGGAGGAAGGACATGGGATTTGCCCTGGTGAGATCTGGGTCCAAGCCATGCTCCATCACCTAATAGGCATGACTCTGAACAACTAAGTCAGTTAACCTCCTGCACCTCAGTTTCCCCTGCTGTAAAATGAGTATCCGTGTGGTGAGGTTCATGAGCGTTGCCACATGCAGGTGTGAGGCACAGAGAAGGTGTGAACAGTTTCAACCTGCGTGAGTTCCCTTTCTCTTAGGGTGACATTGAGGTATCCACAATTGGATCCCAACCCATGTCTCCAACCTTATTTTCTACAATTCCTCATGCAACATCCACAAGCCAACTGGATGAGTTGTCCCTGCCACGTCCCTGTCTCTGACCATCGCTCCCTCCCCTGCTAGGAAGAGCCTCTCCACTTGTCGGAATCAGTTTGAACACAGACATTGAGAGGACACACTCAAACAGACCTGGTTTTGAATTTTTAACTTTCTGAACTTAGTTATTTCACCTGTGAAATAAGTTGATGCTCTGACTTAATGAGGCAAGCTTTATTAAGTTCTTAGCAGGGATACCCAGGATTCTTGCCAGTTTGGGTGTGGGGGCCCAGAGTTGTCACTGAACACTGACTCCGCTGAGTTGACAAGGTCACACAGAAAATTACCAATGTTGGTGTTTTCCAAAGTCTATTGTAGGGGACATTGGTTCTGCAAGACAGTGGTCAGTGCTACCTGGAAGAAGCTGTGGCACTGGATATACAAGCGGAATTATAGGCCCCACAGAGCTCACAAATTTGTTGATGATGGGCCTTTCAGAGCCTTTAACTGCTAATGTATATTATAATTTTCTAAGAAGTGAGAATAATTTACATCCTTTTCCAAAGTGGTTACCACAGAATCCTTTTTTAATAGCCATCACCCCCACCCCCACTGTGATTAAATGTACAAAACTCACTTGGGAAATAATGGTTTAAGTAAACCTGAGAATAAATGTTAATGGCTCATTCAATATTTACTTTCCTCTTAGCTGGAACCAAGATATGTTAGAACTTGGTGTTTCTGATAGTCGTGAGGCTGAGCGCTAAACATTTATTTAGTTTTGATTTTATGAAGCTTTACTGACCTACTCGAAGTCTGTCTTTATGTCCCTGTTCCTTCTTCAGTACACAAGCTACTTCATCTTCATCCTCTCCACGTGGTGTCTTCTGAACACCCCAGTCCTCAGCCATTACCCTGCCCCAGACTGCATGGAGTACTCACTGTTTGAGCTTCTCACGTGACCTTTAGCTTGTCCTTTCTTGTTCTGTTTGTGTATACCTGTTTGGTGAGAATTTCTGGCTGGACTTTGCCCCTGGTTCCTGGGAGGTAGCCTTGAAATCCTTGGAATTTTTCTGAGTTTTGAGAGTGTCTTTGTTTGGGCCTCTCAGACCACACCTGTGTCTGTGCGAACGAGGTCACTCAGAATGGGGGCTGGCCATGCCAGAAAGATCAACCATGTGTCAGAAACTTGGGACTTTGAACCACATGATGTTCTGCCAGCCTGCTTCCTGGGGAGGAGAAGAGGACTGAAGATAGAGTCCCAGGCCAATGATTCAATGAGTCATGCCTGTATAATGAGGCCCCAGTAAAAACCACAGACACCAAAGCTTGGTGAGCCTCCCTGGTGGGAAATACTCCATCTATGGTCATATATCAGTGTGCTGAGAGGGTGCCGCATTCTGACTCCCCAGGAGGGGACGTGACACTTCACATGTGGGACGTCCCAGACTTCCCCATCTGCATCTCTTCTTCTGGATGGCTCTGATTCGTGTCCTCTGGCTGTAATAAAATTGTAATCCTAAGTATAGTGCTTTCCTGAATTCTGTGCATGGCTCTAGTGAATTATTGAACCTGAGGGGAAAGTGGGAACCTCCATATTTGTGGCTAGTCAGTCAGAAGTGAGGGTGTCTGACTGAGGACAGTTGGGTGCCCTTAAGCTGTAGAGTGTGTCCTGATTTTTGGCAGTGGCTGTCAGAAGTCACTGCAATTCCGCTGAGTGAAAGAAGTCAGACATAAAAGAGTACATGTTATAGTCTTTAAAAATGCAAACTACTATAGATACAGGGTGGGCAAAAGTAGGTTTACAGTAGTTCATATGGAAAAGACATACAGGTTATGATTATCACAATAGTTTTATTAATGTAAAAGAATGTCCCTCACAGCTGTAAAACTACTCTTTCCTACCCCTGTATAGTGACAAAAAGCAGACCAGTGGTTGTTTAGGACCAGGGTAGAGGGAGGGGAAAAGGAAGGATTACAAAGGGGCAGGAGGAAATTTTTTTTGGGGGGGGTGATGTATTTGTTCACTATGTTGATTTTCATGATGGTTTCATAGGTATATAAACATGTTAAAAATGATCAAATTATACAATTTAAACATGTACAGTATGTTACATGTCAATAATACATCAATAAAGCTAATTATTTTTTTAAAAAACCTCAGTGCAGTCCTCACCTGTCATGACTCTTTCCAGAACCTTCCATGGTTTATCCAAAGTCTATGGAATCAAAATCTTCCATGATCTGGTCCTAAGCTACCTTTCCCAGTCTTGCCTGTCAGCATTGCCCTACACAAATCCTTTGCCACCACCAAACATTTTTTCTTGCTATTCTCCAAGTAGACCCCACGCTTCCCACCTTTGTAACTTTGCTCATGCTGTTCCCTCTGCCTAGAATACCCTTCCTGAGTTCCTACCCTTTCTCTACCTATTAGGTTTACTATTCTTTATGCTTAACTTACATATAATTCCACAAAATCTTCCTTGAGTTCCTGAGTCAGAAATGATCTCTTCCTTTCCTAAACTCCTGTAATGCTTTCTTTTGTGAGTCATTTCCCAGCGTCCTGTGCTTCCTTATGTATGTGTGCATGAACAGAAGTCAGTCTCCCAGTTAGACTATTAGCTTCCTGAGGGTGGGGGGCTACACATTTTATTCACTTCTGGATTCTCCATGACAAGTTGCATAATCATCTACAAACAGAGGCTAGTCAAATAGCAAATAGACAAAAACACAAGTTTCTCAGCATCTTTCCCATAAGATTTTTTTTAGATCCTTAAACTTTTATTTCACTCAATCTCCTCTTCTACCTCATCCTCTTCTTTCTCCTCTTCTCCCTCTTCTGACTAAAATCACACTTACTTTCTTAACTCTTTTCCTAAGCCAAGTCTGTTCCTCGTCCTCTTGTTTATGTTAGGGGGCCACATATGTGTTTGTGTTTTAGTATTATTGTATGTCTGTCTATGTAGTAAATACTATCTACTCTCCAATAGATTTCAAGTGATAGCTGCCTTAAATCTCAATATTTAAGTTTCCATCTTTGGTCCAATTTCTTGGCCATAGAGCATAGTGATTAAAGTTTCAGGTTTCAATCCCTGGCTGGTGTGGCTCAGTGTATTGAGCACGGGCTGCAAACCAAAGGGTCTCCGGTTCAATTCCCAGTCAGAACACATGCCTGGGTTGTAGGCCAGGTCCCCAGTGGGGGCCACATGACAGGCAACCACACATGGATATTGCTTTTCCCCTCTTTCTCCCTCCCTCATCCTCTGTATAAAAATAAATACAATTTAAAAAACAAATAAAGTTTCAGGTTGCAGCGCCACCAGGCTGGATCTAAATCCCAATGCTGCCACCTACTAGCTGCGTGACCTCAAGCAATTTACTTAGCCATCTATTTTGTCATCTGTAAATTGGAGATGGTAGAAGCCTACAACCTGAGATGCTTTGAGGACTAAATAAACTAGTACATATGAAGTGTTTAGGAAAGTGTCTAACATATAGGAGCCATTCAATAGCTAGTATTCTCTTTACTGCATGCTAAGAAGCATTCAGCCAGAGTGGTGAGACATGCAGGGCTGGAAAGGGTAACCAAGTGGATCTGTGGTTGGCTAGCCACATAGAATCACTTGGAGACGCCATTAACACTACAGATTCTGGGCCGCACCTGAGAAATCCTGATGGACCCCAGGAACCTATGTTTTCTAATGCTCCTCAGATGGCTTGAGTGGCCAGCCAAGTGTGGAATTCAACATAGCAGAAAATATACTGAATTTGGGGTGAGGAGATGTTTTTGCCAGTGACCCCATGTATGACTTCTTCTAGATTCCCTCTTCTTGTTTGTGAAATGAAGCTAACAAACTTGATTTACGTGTATTCCTACGGTATTACATGTATTGTGGGAGGTCAAGTGGCTAAAGTCGTTTCTGTGGGGAAGCAGGCCTGCTGTGCAGAAAGGAACTCAGGCTTTGAGACAGGCCGTAATGCAAATTCCACTTCTGAGACTGTGCTGAGACAATGCCAGCCCTGTCTTCTTCCCAACAGGACCTTGATTTTGCTTGGGGTGTAAATGTGCCCAGTGGAAAATACTCCACCTCCTGTACTGCTTTGCAGTTGAGGGTGGCGTGTGATGCAGTTCACTCCAATCTGCTAAGAGTTTCCAGGGAGGTTTTTGTTTTCTTGGTATAGGCATTCAACCCTGTTCCCCTTGCCCTCTTCTTCCTGCCTGGAATGTGGATGAGAGGCCTGGAGTTGCAGCAGCCATCTTGCTATACGTGACCAAACAAGGGAGGAAGGGCTACAACCTGAGGATGATGGCAAAGAGCTGAAGAGATCTAGGTCCCCAGAGGCATCACTAAGCAGCTGTACTGGCTCTGGACTGCCTAACCCTAGACTTCTTATGAGAGACAAGTGAATCCCTAAATTATTTAAGAGATTATTTTTTTTGTTGGTTATTTGTGCCCTAAAGCTATTTAGGAAGAATTAAAAAAAAATAAAGTTGCTAGAACCATATCTGACCCAGAGGACATTCATGTGTGTGTGTTTCCCTTCTCCAGCTGTGAGACATTTTCTGCATTTGTAAGATGAGGCTTCTTCTAAGTCCAATGTCCTATATTTACCTGATTATAGAACAGAAGAACTTGGCTCTGGGGGCTGGTCCCTGGGATAAAGGACCATTTCCTGGGCTATGGGGAGGGCTGGCGAAGGCGCCCCACCAAGCAACTAGGCACAGGAGCAGTGTGGACTGCCTGTAGCATCCAAACCCTACAGAGGCCACCCCCCCCAATCAGAGTAGATGCAAACAATCTTCACGTGCTCCATGAGGTGCAGTGTGCAACACGCAAGTCCAAAGGACACAAAATCACCTTTGCTCTGACATAAGCATGGAGATAATTCTAAGGATACTTTCCCTGGAGACACACATATCTGAGAGTAAGAATCAAAACCTATTAACTTCCACCCCTCTCCCCTGGACACAATTTACATTTTCCAACACACTCTCCTATTGGAAACTTAGGTAATGGGTGGGAGCGTCGGCGCCTGTGTATCAGTGGAGTGAGAGAGAAAACAGTTTCGGTTTTCATTACAGTTCTTGCCTGCCCAAGCACAGTCTTCACACGATCAGGCTCCTGCCTTTTAGGACCCACAGGAATGTACACGACTCATCAAAGCCAGTGTTGCATCGCCACCTGAGTCCTGCAGGTCCCCACTGCTTCCCCGGCCCTGCCAGGGCGAGCTGAGCACTCCAGCCACGGCTGAAGTCACCAGCACCGGTCAGCGCTAGCAAAGCTCTCGCAAACCTTATACACCAAAAATACAATGAATCCTGAGAACTTTTTTTTGTTTTTCAGCAAATGTACTTTTCCTCTATTATTAAAAGAAAATTGAACTGCAAAAAATGAAGTTTCCTTTTACTATCCAAGTGAAGAAAATCATACATTGAGTGAGATGAACCTTCGGGGCTTCAACACAAACGCGCTTTGTCTTTTCCACGGCTCCCACAACCCCAGGCAGGACTCGGGGATTTTGTCCTCAGCAGGCTGAGTTTCATCCAGTGCTTTGGCTCCTTCCCAGATCAGCACATCCCAACTCTCAGCCCTTCCAGTTTGAGTGGTCCTCCCTCATGGCCTTCACAAGCCAGTCCCGTTCCATTCCCTGCTCAGAGTCGCTTGTATCACTTGCCTCCACGGTCAGCAGCTTTGAGTAGTTGATCTGCCGCTCCTGGGGCAGCCTTGGCCAGATGGACAGGAACAGAATCAGCCAGAGCAACAGCACAGTGCAGCTGGCCTGGTAGAGCACAGCCAGGCTGAAGTGCCTCACCGCGAAGCCCCCGACAAAGCTCCCCAGGCTGGCTCCGCCCCCATAGAAGTGACCTCGAAACACTGCACTCAGAGGTCTCTCTGTTCTGGGAGTGGCCAGGTCCTCTATGGAAGCCCCCACTGCCCACCACAGAGCCCCGTTGCTGATAGCACTCAGGATCTGAACGGGGAGGACGGACCACCAGCTCCAGAGGAAAGAGTAGTACAGCAGCTGCCCGGAAAGGCAGCCCAGCCCCAGCCCCACTGTTCCTGCTCTGGACAGTTTCCTAAGCAACATGCTTTTGAACGGAT